AGAGGGGCAGATTCTGTATTGGACAGCGCCCCTTAGAGGTTATGATGGTATTAGAACACAGGTGATGTTTAATGTTAGCTAATACTGGCTAATTAAAAAGGTCAAAGTTGTAGGAGTCAAAGGAAGGAAAGGCTCTCCACCAGGAAAATGTTCAAGCCTAGAATTTGAAAGCCCCAAATTATTCTGTGTTTAGAATGAATGTGGAGTGTTTAGTTTAACATTAATTCTGGACTTAACTAATGACAGACTTTGAAACAAGTACCAAAATGAATAGGAAGAGTGATAGGATTCAGAAGTGGGGGAAAAGCATTGAGAACTCTGATAACTGTAATCTTCACCCAATTGTCCTGAAAATATTCATGAAATATTTCAGAGAGAAAAAATAATTCAAGAATTCCTAGAGTTGCTTATATATATAGTAGATTATCAGTTAGACTGAAAATTGTTCTTGGTTTTCTAAAGACCTAGCTTTAAACTTCTTGAGATTAGATTATTTCCTGATGCTTTAGTGAAATTCGTTTCACAACTACATACCTGGTTCTAAATTTTCAACTCTATTAGTGAAAATACATGGAATATATCACCTAAATTAATATTTTATTCTACTTATAAGCGGTCAATTTAGTTACAAGAATCAGTTAATCTCTTGTATTTGCTGGTACCTTGATGAAAAGATAACTATTTGAGAATTACCAGCTCATGGTACTACTTAACACTTGGCAACATATGGGTCCCTAAACCTGGTAACTGAGATCCTTGATTGAAGCCAATGCATAGCTCTTCCCTTGAAATACCTAAAGCCTGAGGAATTAAAGCATGCTATGGGAAATGCAAAATGCATTGATCATTTGAATAGACCCGGAATGGATTTCTCCCCCCCACACACACACAGTGTTTACAAGCTCATGTGAAAGCTCCAATGCTTTAAAATAGTTTTGATGGAAATATTTGGCTTCTATCATATAAATATGTTTAACCTATTTAAAGCTAGTTGTCATTATTTTAAAAAATTGTTTTATTGCTATTATTGTTTTGTTACTCTTTTTTGTTTACATCGGTTTTTCGAAAGCTCAGATTTGATTAGTTTGTGTTCAAATATTAGCCTTGTTCAGAGCCTGACAGAGAGTAAATAATACTCATGAAACCTTAGACAATTCATTTTACTACCTTAGTGTCAGTTTCATTAACTAAGTGAATATGTTGCAGTTGGCCCCTTAGGACAGTGATTCTGAAATCGGGAGTGAAGTAACAGAAGAAAGATGACTTTCAAATTATATCCCCCCTCATAGCATATAGCGAGAGATGTTACTGATAGGTGTGCATTATGTATGCATGGATTCAACGTAGAGAAAAGAAAGATCATAATTCTTTTTAATTCATTATTGCATTAAGAATTTGATTTCCCATTCATAATCTTTCCATGCTATTCCATCTCAACAAAACCATACCAACTCATCTTTACAAAACTGTTGTGATCCTGTCAGTGCTAAAGAAAGGGGCAAAAGCCCCTCAAAATGTTAACATTTAAATAAGTCAATAATCATGGCTTCTTTTTATTGATGTAGGTGTTCTTCATTTTTATTCAAAAAGTAATTTTATCTTCGAACTACCTCATACAAATACAAAAGGGAGATTTTTTAAACCTTTATTTTTAACCTTTCTGATAACATACCTTTTTAACATATTAACTCATACTCTCCATGTGTGTACTGTGTGTGTTTGTGTGTATATATGTGTGTATTTACCTTTACATGTACCCTGTCATTACTTAGTTTACTAATAAAAGCAATTCAGACTTTGGAAAGTAAACCTTTTTATCCCACTTATTTTATTCTAATCAAAGAAAAATATTTTAAGACATCCATTTTCTCCATGCCTAGCTGCTATTATCTTGACTATAATTGCCTAGTTTCCTTCCTGGCTGATCTATTGCTAGCCTTTATCTGGATGTTATTAAAGAATATAAATGCTCCATAGAGTACCATAGTCTCAGCCAGAATATTTTCAGATTCTCAGCTAAAATGAAACAGAACCAATGGTTTGACTGTTAAGTGAGTAGTTCCGATTTGTTGTCAGCGTGTGTAAAGGACTCTAAATTCATTATGTTAGTTCCTGCGATGTAGCATTTGAAAAATAGCTTCGACTGTTTATGGATCGTGGTCCTTGGGCACCAGATAGTGGTGTTGGAATGTATTGCAGAAAAGCTGATTAAAGTACTAGTGTCTCTAACAGTAAGAGTAGAAAGCCATTTGTAATACCTGTGTCTGACTCTGTCAAATGCACTTAAATGTTTCCTTTTGAAAGCTTTGGTTTATTATCAGCCTATCCATGAGGGGAAAACAGTTTTACAAAAATGTGCCTTTTGGAGAAAACATCAATAAGCTATACTTGATGAGAAGTTTATGTGGGTAGACTGATTTGAACTTTGAAGATCCCAAATAGTTTGCAGTTTCATTACCTTGCTTATTGGAGTCATGTTTCACTATGACTTAGATTTCAATAGTAGCTACTTTCAGTTCCTAATTTTAATGTGTTTTTACTGTATATCAGGGAATTTATACTTCAAAATATAAACTATGTCAGAATTCATTGTCCCACTCCACCCTCCCCCTTTGCCTTGGGCCACTTTCCTTCCGGACAAAAGTTCACCAGAGTAGAGCATGGAAATATTTTACATAATCACAAAACTTACAGATCGTTAAATATACTTTGCACTCCCTTTGTTAAAATATTTCAGTATTTCCTCATTGATTCCAAAATAATGTTCACATTTCTTAGGGAGCCATCCGTGATCTCTCTAATTCTCGGCCTCATCCTTACCCGTTCCCCTGCCGTGTCCTTTGCTTCAGGTTACAGAGCCACCATTTCCCTTCTCATTTCTTTTCCTTTGTTGCTTCCTTTTCTCCCACCCTTCTTTACCTGAGGGTCACCTGTTCTTCCTTCAAAACTCTGTTCGATTTCCCCTCTTCCAGGAAGCCCTCCTTGAACTATAATTACCCTGCCTCTTACTCATTGCATTTAGACTAGCCTTTAAGCTCTTTATAGCATTTCATAAGTTTCTTTTTTAATGCTCTACTGTAATCATTTTTTTACTTGTCTGTCTCGTTTAATAGACTTGAAATTAGAGATGATAGTGTCTTTTTTGGTTTGAATCTGGCATATAGACCTTTCAAATAAATATCCATTGACTGATTGAATGAATGACTTTTATAGATAATTTCATAATTTGACTTACTTTGCTCTTGATATTTAAGGCATTTGAGGGTATGGCTTATGCCATTTTCCTCACAGGAGCTTTTTAAATTTACTCACTAACTTCCGTATTGGCAACTAAAATGTGTAATAAAGATAGGTCTTTGGCTTTGGGAAGCTAAGAACTTTTATTGGCTAGAGGATATAATAATATAAATCTTGAACTGTTATCAAATTAAAAATCTGGAATATAATATATGGGAAATTGAAAAGACCAACTCTTACTATCATAAATCATGCATTCTAGCTTACCCATGTATATCGTTGAACCTGTGACTCTATTGGTATATAAAATTTCCTTAGGAGAGAGTAGATATTTAGCAACTTTTCCTTATTTGAAAATAACTTCTTACAGCTTTTAGATTTTAATGTACTCTTAATTTAATTTAGATTTTAATGTAATCTTAATCCGAGAAACAAAGACAAAATGTAAACTAAAAGAAAATTTGCTAATGATGGGTTATAGAACTTAAACATGTGCTTGGTGGTCTTGAGGTATCTTTATAGTATTTGCATCAATAATCTGCATTCTATACTAAAACAAACAAATTGCAAAGAAATCCGTATTTACAAGTAAGACTTTAAAAAATAATTTAAGCTTATTTCTTAATAGAATTAAAACATTTCCATTTAATCTAAATTTTTATTTCTTCTTATATGTGTACTTAATATTTGCTTTCATGTAATTATTTGCTTAGACATTTTGTATAATTATTTCTTTAGTGATATAGCAAACTGAGTCCATGTGTTGTTATAGCTGAATCATAGTCCTGGCTGTTCTTTTTATCTATTGACTGAACAAGCGCTATTATTATTAAAATCCCTTGTTCTTCAGTTGAGCTTGCAAAAGAAACTTGTTTGTTAGATCTTTAATACCCTAAGAAATTTGTATTGAAGGTTTTAAATTATGTACCTCTTTTCAGTCTGTGATATATTAAAAAATAGAATGGAGAAAAATTATTTATATCTCAATAGTTGCATATCTGCTCATTCTCAGAGACCCCAGCCTCCTTTTTAAAAATATTTTTAAGATTTATTGTTTGTTAAAATTTGGTACTGAATTTGTATAAAGTATAAAGATCATAGCACGTTAGAATATTATTGCCATTTAAGAATATATTCACTGTTTTGTTTTTTGGAGTGCTGCCTCCAAGAGGTTCATAGCATTTGGTACGTAGTTCACGTATTTCTAGTCTACAGACCTACCATATCAAGGAAAACCCTTCATGATTCTGATTTTTTTTTTCTACTGCTATAAAGCTCAGCAATGGTAATTAATTTTTTTCAACTTTCCCTGTCATTACAAATAAAACTGAGTTTTTATGAAGACAAGTAATTTGTACCTTTAAAGAGCCACATTATTTTGCTTTTGTCTCAGAGTGTATTATGCTTCACAAGTATACTGTGACAGGCTGAATAGAAAAGGGGGGAGGGGACATTGTCTTCAGCTGGCATGCTGTTATCAGGGGGAATGTGTTTCTGGACACGAGATTTAGCATTCATTGGTTGTCTGAAGAAAGCTATTTCATCTGAGGATTGGACAAGAAGCTGCGTCAATTTGCTGCCCGTCTCCAAGGCACTGGTGATGCTGCCTTCACAAGCTGGCTAACGTCACGGCTCCATCACCCAGCGGGGTGTGGACTCTCTTTTTCTGTTCTTCTCTATTTAATTCTGTATTTGCTGCCTACTGCATTTCTTAATCTGTCTTCTGCCAAATGCTAACAGCATGATATTTTGCAATCATCTAGGTGAATACAAGAAAGACGAACTCCTAGAAGCTGCTAGGTAAGTGATTCCATTCATTTTAAGTGAGTATAATGCATTTAAGGGAGAAAAGGGGGAGGGCAGGTGGAAGACTATAAAAATTATAGCATGTTATTGTCTTGCTTGGATTTTATGCAATAATGCAGATAAGACCCTATACTAAATCTTTGTGTACTTTATTATACATGATTAGTGTATTAAATGAGACAGTCTTTCAATATGGTGATGATTATAAGGTTAATTTTATATGGAACATTTCTTAAGGTACCTGTAAACCTTAGTTGCCCAGCTTTTCCAAAGATATTCTTGGAGTATTTAAATACCTATATCTTCATTTTTCTCTGAAAATTTTCCTAATTTTCAAAAGCTTGAATGAGGGGCATAAAGTAAATGTTAAAATTCTCATCCATTGTCTTTTGTTCTTGGTCATTTTTAATTTAATTGATTAGCTTTTACAGCATTTTGTATGTATTTTTAACTCCAGTGGTTTAGATCACTTATCAGAATAAAGTTTGTTTGTAATTAAGAAGGTGGCTTTATGCAGATAAATAAAACAAATAAAAATGTAGAAAGCTGTATTTTCCAAGTTGTACCACTATATGATGATTAACAGGAATTAATTAGGAATATATTAATTGAATATAGTAAGAGATTCATTCAGAACCATATAAAGACATCAAAGCAAACCCATATTATTTTGCACTCTCTTGTGAAAAATACCCACAAATATTCAAAAGAGAGAGAAGCTCTATAGTTTTATAAGAATTGACTTACTACCTTTCTATAGGAGTGGTAATGAAGAAAAACTAATGGCTTTACTGACTCCTCTAAATGTGAATTGCCATGCAAGTGATGGGCGAAAGGTAAGTTATTTAAAATATAATATTCCCCTTCAGTAATTTTTTTTTGCTTTACAGTGGAAATGTTTGTAGTTGGTATATATATGTGTGTGTGTGTGTGTGTGTGTGTGTGTGTGTGTGTGTGTGTTTGTATATAAATACGTGCATATATAGCTGTATTTTTACTGGTGTCTTTTCACTGTAAAATGAAATGCTGCTGTATCCTGTTATTGGTAGTTGAGACATACATAGTCATAGAGCTGGTGAAGCATAGATCTTTAGCCTTTTCTCTTTAAATGTCAGACACTGAAAGTTGTTTATTAAACGGAACTGCAGCTTTGTTGGCAATTAAAATTATAACAACATATATTCTTTTCTGTGTATGATAATGGAAATTGGAAATATTTGTTTATGTCCTATTGACTCACCTTTCTTTGGATATATGCATTTTTTATTTCTTATTTGGCCAAGGAACATTTGTTTGCTAGATACCAACACTTTTTTTATTTAAAGCTGAGAAAATGTTGCTAATGATTTTTTAGATCTATGTAACAGCCCTGCTTTTTCTTTTAATTTTTTTTATTCACTAAGTTTTTAATCATTGGTACATTGAAAGAAAATAGACTAAAGCAGAGAGAAATACTCTGCATTAATATGCAGTTGTCATAAATGTAAGGTAATATATAAAATATACAGCTGGTATCTCATTATCTGCTTCATATTCTTGGTGAATGGAGACTGAAATATAATTCTTTACAGCCTTTAGCAATTGACTGCAAACTTTAACAGTGATTTACCTAATAGATATTGAAAAACAAAGCACTTTGTACTTTTAAGTCTTTTTTAAATGATTTTTTTATGTTAAAAGATGGTTTTTATATTTTAAAAACAAAATAGTTTTAAAGTTACACTGCAAATATTGAGGAAAATCATCTTGTGCCTAATATTTAAAGAATTAGTTCCTTTGAAATTGTGCTGAAAATATGCTATGAAAAATATTACCCCATAGAAATGGTAAACTATTTTGCTTTTAAAATTATTTTTCTGAGTGATAATTTCATAGATCAGAATTATTCAGTTTTCCTTGACTACTTCCATGCTTTTCCCCCCCATTCTAACGAAACCTGTGTAATAGTGGCAAGGAATTGAATCCCTCAGACTATAAGTTATTTGTTACTGTAGATGGCTTGCACTTTATTTCCCATGAGCTAATGAGTGTTCAGTTTCTCTGAATAATTTCAGGAGAGACTTCTAGTTTCATGGAAGTTAAAATCATATATATCAAAGATTTACTCAGTATTACTATTGGCTTTTTGGAGATGTTTCTAAATGGTAACTTCTCATTTTTCCTTTAATTTTGAAGTTAGTTTGAGGATTTTAACATTCTTGAGTTACTTTAAGCCCCAGAATTTGTTTGGATCCTCAGTAGATAAACTGACTTTTATCAGTGTGCAGAAAAGGGCCTTCTTATCTATGCTAAGTGCAGCTATATCTTTAGACAGAGTTCTTTTTAGAACCCAGGGTACTTCAGTTTTCCATAGCCATTTTAATATTGCAGAATTTATGTGAGATTACTATAGCAAGAATCAATTTACATCTTAGCCTTTCTCTGATACTTACCCTTATACCTTTACAGCCCTGTTAGCCCCGTTTCTAGCTCAATAAATCATAATAATTAAGGAGCATAAACACTAATAATTAACAAATTACTTCTTCTCCTTGCCTTACCCTCTACACAAATATATACAACTCATTTATTTTTCCTTCTTCCCAAAGGAGGATATACTTCCCTCATTCCTTTAGCTGGAACCAATGTATTCCTCATCCAAATTCCTATGGCTCCTTTTCTGTATTACTCTATGGCATTTACCAGAGTTCTTGCATTGTAGAGTTATTCATATATGAGTTTTTCTTCTACTGATTTATTAGCTTTCTTTTATGTTTTGCACTAGACCAAGCTGGGCACTTTGCATGTAGCAGAACTTAAGATATGAATATGCTCCCTGATAAACAATTTTATCCTCTCTCTGGGTGAAAAAAAAGTAATCTGTACTCTTTGCCATTTAAATAATTAACTCAGAAGTATGTGAATGGGGTGGGATTTTGTATTATCTGTTATTATATATTATTACTAGTATTATTTTATTCATTTATTTTTGAGCAATTATCCCATGAGGGAGACTTATATATTAATGTGTAGAACATTTTTAAGAACATGTCTCAAATATTACTATTATTATTATTACTATTATTATACTGAAGGATTTATAATATAAATAATGTAATAATTTTGCAAAAAGTATTCTTATTTTTTAGATTATCAATTTTCTCAAATTAGATAGAAAAATTAAACTTAAGCATTTATTAGGTTTTAGTGCTATTCCTGCATATAACAAAAAATCATTTAAAATTGTCCATCGATATGCAAAATGCAAATAAAATTTCATAATTAAAATTGAATAATGTTTATATTTAATATTACCATTGTTTATGGCACAGAGCAATTCTTATTAAATATACCAGTTGCAGTAAAGCCACAAAGCAGCAAATATTCTGGGCACTAATGGAGATTAGGATAAGATTCCTTAGTTATAACATTATCCTTTGTTCTTTAGCTATTGATATCAAGAAAATGGGTAAGCAAATCTAGCTGCTAAATTATAAGTCTGTCTTATATATTTAGTACTTTTTCAAGCCATTTGCATGTATTTATCCCGAATTAGGAAGTATATTACAAAAGGATAAAGACACTTTACATATATAGTAAGTTAGTGGATATATGAAATTTTATGTTTTGAATTTCCATTGTAGAACACAGTACAGAATCAAATTCATTTTTAGAGGTTTTCTAAATGACTATATTAGTGCTTAACAAAATTCTTGCCTGTCTCTGTTTTTACTACGGGTGCTGCTTTGTAAATTTTAAAAAACCCATGGAAATGTCAATTTTGTGATGTTTTTAGAAATGTTCCTTATACATTAACTAGTAGGTGGAAAATTTGCCTAGTTATGTGTGGGGGTTTTAGACTTCAGCATGCCTTTTTAATGTAATGTGTGGGATTATACAATGACAGTGTAAATTTTAAATAGCCTCTTCTATACCATGACTTGATGATTTTTTAATTAGGTAATATGTGAGTGGTTAATACAAAGGGTGCCAAAAAAATGTATACACATTTAAGAAAGGGAAAAACTGTATTAAAATTGTAATACTCAATATATACCGATAATAAAAAATGAATACAAGTCATGTGTACACTCATACATTTTTTTGGCACCTGCAGTATTTTTGTTTTCCTAATCGGTAGAATTCTGAAAATAGTGAAGTACCAATAAGGTTTTAAGTAATTTATATTTTTATATTATGCTTTTATTTTATATGTAAATCAAAGCGGGGTTTATTCCAGAAATTTCTAGTTGTTGTGTTTTTTTCCCCTATTTTTGTTCTGAAATTCTAAGTTCATAGAATTATATACATGTTCTAATGATGGCCGCTTTAGAACATAGGGGCATAGATTTAATTTATTCTTTCATCTCCTGTCCATTATGATTAGGCATAACATTCCACAATTATTTTGAATTGCAGGGAAGTACAACCAGATCCTGAAAACCAATTGTTTCCTTTCTAGAATTCCTAATTCTTATATTTTCAAACTTAGATTTTTTTTTGTCTTTTAATCTCCCTTTACAGTATTTTCTATCAAGATCAGATGTTTTATTAGCAGTTATATAAACTTCTGGCCTTGTTTGTTATGTAAAGTTAAGGTGGTCATGGCCTCTTGTTTTTCAATATTAATTTTCATAAGGATACCTTTTTACAATTAATGAAAATTTTGAATACATCTTAAATTATTTCAACATTCATTTCTCTTCAGAGTTCATTTTGGTCCCTCTCATGTGATTTCCCTTTCCTGGCTGCCTTTATCCTCTTTCAGAATGAATGTCCTAAATTTATCACCTCCTTATGGTAAGGAATAGGTTGGAGTTGAGCATTACTGTACCTATTCCTAAATAGAAATACTATGTATCTTTGCAATGCCTACTGTTGCTATGATTGTATGTCACTCACCAGATGTCAAAAGTAACTATTGACATTTGGTCATAAGTATTTGTTTGGTACTTTATTTTTATGAAGTATTCAGTATAATTTCTGATATTTCAGATTTCTTTTTGCTCCTTTCATTCACTCAACCAAAACTCAATACTAACCATGTATAGGTCACTATGTTAAGTGTTATGGGAGATAAATATGCGTTTAGTAGTATTTGTTTACAAGGAGCTCAAAAACTGATAGAATGATTAAGACATTAACCAATACATTGAAGTTAACACGCTAAAATGCATATGATTCCTTTTGCTGTGATACAGTTGTAAAGTGTAGATGTAGGGTGGGATTTGTTTTTCTGATCCTTTTATTTTTAAAGCACTAGTATTTAGACATGTGTGCCCTTCTGTAAGAAACTACAAATTTAGATTAACGGGCAATTGGAGGAGCATAATTTAAATTCAGAAAGATTAACTGAAGAGTTTCTTTAAATGTCATATTTCTACTGTGTAAATGTTCACTTCCATGAAATAGTTAATAATGAATAAGAGCTAGAAACAGAAAGTTGTTTAAAAACTATTTTTTTAATAGAGATCAATCAGATATAAAGTAGAATTTAGCACCATCCCCTGAAGATACCATAAAAAAACTGTGTGATATCATTGAAAGAGCAGATAGGGTCTGCAAGGGTTCGAGTCTCTGCTCTTTCATTTTCTAAGTGTGTGGCTGTGGCTGTACATTCCCAGTGTAGACTCACTCATGTATGGGGATAATCATTGCATTCCAAGGCATTTGAGAGGAGTCAGTGAAATAGTGTGATTAATATATACAGTTTGTGGCACATAGTAGAGCCTCAGTAAATTAGATCCCTACTCCTTCAATACATGATTGAAGTTTCTGAACATATTTAGATGGATACATACATACTTTTGAGTATTCCAACATTCCTCACTTAAATTGTCATTATTACACAGGCTCA